ATAATTAGATTTTCTCAAATAAAATTAATCTTAATGCTTTGAAAAGTAATAATGTATGAAATTATTATTAATTTACATTTTATCATATCTCACGAGAAAATTCATTTGCATAAAAATCAAAAGCTTTAAATAATTAAATATTTAAAACTGATTAAAAGTTTTTGACTTAGTTTATATGATTAAGTTAAAAAAACAGTTTGGATTCCAAAACAAAATATAAATTCAAAGCATAATAAGTACTCTTTTGTATATATTCTATGTTTAATTTGATTAATGTATTGTTTGGGGGTGATAATTTCTTGTTTATTAGATTATCTTCAGATATAAAATTAAAAACTATCTGTTGTCAACTATAAAAAGTCCAATTTATTAAGCAAACTTTAACAATAACATGCGAACAGAACAGATTTAATCAAGAATATAATCCTTTTCAATTTCTGTAATTTCCTCCAATCTCATAACAAAGTTCTGGATTCATTTCAGAAGTATTGAATTGCAGAAACGAAGTTGCAATTATTACACTTCAATTGCAATTTTGTTTGGAAAGTTGATGTGGAACCAAATGCTGTCCTTTGAGACTTTGCCAATCTCTAGCAGGTGTTGACATACTGTCACAAGAGAGCACTTCAAAATATCATCTATTTCACATAATATTTACTTTGTGTTGGATTCCACAAGAGTTTGTAAGACCTTATTGTTCATCTGTGTTTGGGAAACTTTATATGTGAATTTCAATGTTAACATTGCTAGATCAAAATTTTTCAAATTATCAGCAGCACTTCCATTCACTCAGTACATTTTCATAAATATCATTGATGTTCCTGGAAGCCTGAGATGCATTTGACCCTTTACGGAACTCAAAAAACACCAAGTTCCTCATGTGTATTTTGTCAAACCTCATAGTGGACTGAATCATGAAATGAAATAACAATGCAACCAGATGGAAAAATGCAATATCCCCTGACTCAATGTAGTTTTTTTCTATTATATGTATGCAAAGTGCACTGAGAAATAGATGTTTATAGTTGACAACCCAATATATATTAAATTATGTAAAAAATACATATGAAATTTTTTAGTAATATATTCTAATCTTTCTTCTTTTAAAGTACTTCTTGAAATAGTAAAGAAATATACAAAATGAAATCAAAAGGCTAAACAGATAAAAATCTAACCTTTTTGGATGACTTTTTGTCAATTGAAAAGAGTTTGGTTGAAATCATCAATTGTATAATAATATTTAGAATTATAATATTAAAAAATATAAATATACAAATTTTTCCATATCTATTTTTATATTGAATGTATACTTTATAAAAAAGTTGAATTTTTTATATGTTTTAGTACATAGTATATTTTTAATATTTCATTTGTTTTTCATTTTAAAAAAAAGTATATTTGTTAATATTTACAATGTATCTCTATCGACTGAAATAAATTCAGATATTACAAATTCATAAAAGTATTTTAATATAAAATTTAACAAAAATTGTATTCAATTGAATTGTAGTTGTCTTTAATAATATTTTTATCAGAATTTGTCAGAACTATATATAAAAATAACTAAAACAAATAATAAAATAGAATTATTATATTTCATTCTTAACTTAATCACCATGCCTTTTCACCGCCTAATATTCTAAACTTATTTTTAAAAACTGTATTTGAAATATTTTTGATTATTTATGTACTTTTCTATCTTCAAAAAATCAAATATGTGAAATTTTAAATTTCTTATAATAGAAATTAATATAAATAAGGGCAATGAAAATAGAGATTATAAAATCTAAAACAGAAATAGTAGAAAAAAAATCTGAAGTTATTGACAAATATGACATTTTTTTACATATGGCACTGGAAGAGAGATGATATTAAGTTTATTCTCCAAATACCTGAAAAAAATAATCAACATGAATTCCATAAAAACTGGAAGATTCTGATAAAAAAATACATTTTTTGTAATCTTCAGTTTTACTCTAATTTGTGTTTGTGACACTAGTGTATAATAATAATAATAAACAAAAATAACTCAATATAAATTGGTTCATGTCTACTCTATCACTAATGGACTTTACAGACATAAAATATAATTTCTTGTGCCAACACAATTTGGAAATTTCTTAGCAAATAACAGGAAGCAGCAAGAAAACTGACAGTGTCAACCACTCCTGAAATTATTAGAGTAAATCATCATTGCAATGTGTGAGATCCGGAGTTTTTGTAACGAAAATTACATTCTTTTATTAACTAAAATTTTAATTACTTTACTGTCGTTTATGTAACGAATTTGGAAAAAAATCGATCTTAGCCGGGACTGTGTAAACATTCCTGTCATAACTATCAACATCTATTGTTCTCTGCAGAACTAACGGATCATCTTGCAGAAAAGTTTACACTTAACATTCAGCTTTGGTCACTTGTTTTAGATCCCTGGAACACCTATAACCTTTAACTCATGAACATCCGATCACGTGGTGGAAATTCCCCACAAAAACCTATAAAAGACAGTTCTTACCCCTCTCGGGGGAGTCTCTTAACGAACGCTGGACCGACGACATCGCACCGATTCTCCGAACCCGCCGAATTCCGATCTACGATTGACGAGAACAGCTTACCGCCAAAGTCGCAAACTTTTTATAATTGTGCTCCTGTGGATATAAGACAACTTTAGTTGAATATTTAAGTGCCTCCACAGATTAGATCGGCAAAAGGGACATTCAAAGAGGTATGAAAAGCGAAAAACTCTCTCTCGGGAAAATAAGCGGTTAGAAACGCTATTTGTGTAGCTTTTTTGTTCAATTTGCTTCTTTTAATAAATAGTTGTTATATTGTTTAGATATGGTAGACTCCTTTACTTGATCATGCCATTCACCTTATCGTCGACCCCAAGCAACACCCTCCACTCGCCTGACATATCATCCTGACTAGTGACAGGGGCGGCCGACTTCTGACCTCCCCTCTGGTTCACAAATGCATCATCATTACTATAAGACAAGGAAATCTTCACATATATATTATAATAATAATAATAAAAAAAACTGCAAAAAATCCAAATAAATAATAATAAATTGAGACAAATCAAAAGGGTAAAATATATATATGATAAACTGAGAATATGTAAAAAATTAATATAAAAAAATAAACAGAATGAAAGAATTAAATAAATAGCAGAAGTGCATAAAATAATTATATAAATTGATATATAATTTTTCTATAAATTTCCCTATATTTATAAAATACTAAATGCAAGAAGTCTTCAGTAATTTTTACATTTTCATTAGAATGATAGAAAAATGAGCAATGAGAAATATTGAGGCAACAAGGTGATTAATATAAAAAATATCATTAATTAATATTATNACAAAAATGATTATTAATATACAGGTATCCTCATATAACACGATAGTTACATTCCGAAAAAGTGCTTTGTTATGCAAATCCGTGATATACAGAACAAAGAACTAATGCAAAACATAGAGTTGTGTTCCAGAATTAGTAGGTTAGTTAGCAAAAGTGCACTATTCTTTTCCATTACTAAGAGAAATATGTTTATTAAAGCAACTGATAATTTATTTCCAATCAATAATAAATTAAAAAACACAAAAGTACTGTATTATGTATTAATATTAATTTTAGTTAAATAGGCCATTTTCTTTTTACAAAGTATTGTCTTCATCTCAAGTTTTTTGTTGATCATGATCAGAAGTATCAACAACATTTTTGTATTTTTTATTTTTATCATAAAAAATTTTTTATGGGTGATGAAATAAAAATATATTATTAATCAAAAATTTATTCTAGAGAGTCACATTTGTTTACTTGTATAATGCAACTTTTTCCATAATTTCTGTTTGAATACTAAATTGTTTGAGTACTAAGATACTGCCACATTTCATCATTTTACAAATAATTGTGTACCTACAGTTAAAAAAAATAATAATAATAACACTTACCTAAAAATGTTTAAATTAATTTTACTAAATACAAAGATTAATCTATAATAACAAAACACATTGACAGTATTAAGGGCTAAAGTCTGAAAGCAATGACAATGACACCTGGCTGATAGGAAAGCTAGGACAAAGAAAAAATTGTACTGTCTGTTTTCATTAAAGTAAACCTGACAAAATAATTTTAAAATTTCAATATTCTAAAATCCATGGACAAATTTGAGACAACACACATGCTTACTTTAATAATATAGAATAATGAAGTTTACACTTAAAAATTGTGAAATTTTGTACAGAGATTTCCAAAACTGTGTTAAAGCAAAACCAAAAGTCATGTTGTACAGGGAATATCCCTGATTTCAAATCATGTTGTATGAGGAATACCTGTACTTATTTTGAAAATAACTAGAATGTCTTGAAAGAGAATTCAAATAAACAATAATATTGTATATTTAAAATTGCAATATATTTTTAAATTGTACTTTATTCTAAAATAAAATGTTGAAATTTTAAGTGATTGAACATTTAATCACAAAATTTATTGAGTTCAAAAGAATTGCTTATCAAAAATTAAACAAGACTAATACAAATGAAATAGTTTAATTAGTGAATAAATAATGTTAATAATAAAACATTAATTATTTAATTATGAATTTTAATTAATTACATAATTTTAAATGATTCTTTTAATTCTTTTATCTTGTTTGTTCTTATTTTTACAGCAATCTATTTTTATTTTATGTAGTTAGCATTATATTCATTTGAAATCTTTGTAATATTTATTTCATCCTATATACTTTTGTTTATTCTGATCATATATTTGTTGTCTTTGATAATAGTTCTTAATACAATTTCAATATTATCAAAGTTTATTATTTGTTAATATTTTGTGTTTTAAATTAGTCTAAATAGTTTTATTACATGCATTAAGAATTAGTTTTGAAATTATAATAATACAATAAAAATAATAATAATAATTTTGTAATTTTTAAATTATTCACAAAAAGTTTAATAATTAATTTACAAATTTTTAAAATTATTAAATGTTACCTGCTGAAGTTGAGGGTGATGAAGTCTAGGATCCTCCCATGTTGTCGCATGATCAATATGGTTAATAAAGTAACTATAAATAAAATTAGCTATTAATAGGATTAAAATAAAGGTTTTAATTTTAATTATGGTATATAATATTTCAATATTAAAAATATTTTTGTCGTATTATGTTGTATAAACATTACGATACAATCATTTAAGTAAATTATTGTAAATTATTATTTCAGTATCACAATCATTATTGATTTTTTTTGTTTGTGAGTACTACATATAACCTTCTTTCTATAAATATTTATTCACTGAAAAAATATTATTAAAGTTAAATTAATTTTATAATCAATTTGATTAAGAAACTTTGCTTCTACATTTTAACAAGTTTTGAAATTTGTTTAAATTACATTCTTAAATTTTAAATTTAATTTTTTATAGAATATTAGCATAATTAAATAAACAATAATGACTGTGTGTTATTCCTACTTTTTTTCATGTATCTAATTTACTTTGGATAAAATTTTAAATCTAAAGGGTTCTTAAAAATGTTAGATACAATATACTTTTTTTGTTCCTGAAAAAAATGTTTGTGTATTTTCATTATTATTTACTCTATATTAAAAGCAAAAAATATACAATAAGGATATTAAAAAGACATAACTTATTTAAAAAATATAAAATTTTTAAATAGTTAAAAAAAATATTAAAACAAATTTTATAACTTCAACAATTCTTCATTCTCTTAAATTGAAAAACAGTTAATTCTGTTATTTATCTTCATCTTTTCTTTTTAGTATTAACTGTTTCCATGATGAAAGCATGCATCTTTCTTTTATAAATATAATTTCTGTTTTCATATTAAAAGTTCTCATTTTTAAATGTAAAGCTATATTATTCACATAATTTATAGTTCTTAATTATGTTAAAGAATTATAAAAATAATTTCACAATATTAAAGATGACCCCTTTTAGATGTGTCTCTTTAATGAATAAAATTTACTGTATATTCATTATCTCTCTACTTTGTTCAAAATTTGTATTTTTTTTTTAATACTGAAATTGTAAATAATTTTAAAATTTTAATAAAGAAGCATATATTTTGAATTAATTTCTAATAAAAAGTCATTTGTTGAGAAATAAAGCTGGCAATACATAATATAATAGTGTTTTTAAAAAATATATTTTTTAATATTTGTGTTTAATCAAGACAAAAAAATAACATCTCATTCTGTCTCACAAATAAATGTATTAAACTGATTAAATAAATAAATTTAAAATGTATTAATTCTATTCACAGATTATAAATCTTAGTAGTCTTTTAATTTTCAAAGCTTTTCATTGTCATATTTATAATTACATAGTGTCTTCTCTTTTTAACAGAAAAGTAATTGTGAAACTATTAAATGTACAGTACACTTCGAATATTTAAAGGCTTAGTAATCTATCTTCAGAAATCCAGACAAACAAATCGAAAAATTTATATTCAAATTTTAGTAAATTATAAATATTGTTTTTATTTCTAAGCTGTGTTTCATTTATTTAGAAACATAATTAAAGCAAAACAGTTCAATTAAAATTGCAATGATGGTTGAATTGTTTAAAGCTTTTTGTTTTGGTTACATTTTCATAGGAATGAAACACAATTTATAAATAGTAACATTTTAGAAAAAGAACATTTGTTTTTCGTCTTGTTAAGATTTCAAATGAAAGAAACTCTTCTAATTTGTTTATTTTAAATCCAACAATTTTTTACTAAATCTGAAAGCATTGAATATTATCTCTGTTATCCTGCTCTAATGCAAAAGTATTAAAATGCTAAATCAATAAAACACTTTAATAGTATAATTGCAGATATTTTTTTTAAATATAATTTTTAAAATAAATATCCTGTTTAGGTTTGTAATGAAATTAATTGTAAATTTAATGTTTACACATATAAATGCCCTTTATATGTTTTCAATTCAGTATCTCGTGTATGAAATTTTAGCTTGAAATTAAATTAATGCCAACACTAAATTTTCATTTGATAATCTTACTGGAAAAATCGTCTAAATTTCCTCATTAAATAGAAGGATAACTTTGATTAAAGTTTAAATGGACATTTTTCCCATGATATAAAATAAAGGGAATATTTTTTAAATGTAGTCAATCATATCTCTAGCAATAAAAATAATATCATTCTGATATAGATAAAAGGAGCTATATTATGTGGAGAATGAGATAGTATAGTTTGATTACCACTCTAAATGATGATTATCAAAAAATACCTAACAAATTTTATCAATGATTATGATATATACAATATAATCCAGAATATTACTAATAATTTAATTTTTTTAATATGTTCCTATTTATTAAAGAAATGACATAATTAATACAAACTTTATTTCAAATCTTATTGAAAATTGTTTTCTAGATCAGGAGAATAAAACTTTTATGAAAATAATTATTATAGCATATTACAAATGATAATTTATTTCAAAAATTAAAGAAAAAATTTATAATAACACTAAAAATATTTGAAGACTATTTGAATTTATGAAATGAAAAAATTATCTACTAATTTTATACACTATTCATTTACTATGTATTTGCAGTTCAATTTTAAACTATTTATTGATTTATAATAATCTAAATAACTAAATCAATTAAAATTTTTACTATAATTCACAAAAAATAATATTTGAATAATGTTAAATGAACATTTTTACAAAATAGCAGTATTGAAAATCTTGAAATACACTTATTATGTATTAAACTATATATTAAATATTTTATATTTGTGTTAATTTTAACAGATTAAAATATAGGTTATGTACTTTTTGTAAAGTGTAGAAAAATTAATTTAGCTATAGTTTTATGCAAAAAACAATTTGTTTCTGAAGTTATTCAGATTTTAATGTTAATCTCTGCTGTTATCAGTTTATCATCATCAAACATTATATATCATACATTAACAATAAACGAGTAAGATTCCTACAACATTTAAATATTTTATTATGAAACTTTTAATGTTTAATAACTAAGACTGACTAGGAGCCACAAAAAATGTAAATACAAAAATAAAAACTAACATAAATGTATATATATCTGAAAATATCTACTAACACTAATTTTTATTCTTAATGCAAAGATATTTTTTATTTTTTGCTTATATAAAATTCTTAATTTTACTTCTTTAAAGTCTTTAATTTCATAATTACCATTTCAGATAATGCAATTCAATTATTATTAAATCTTCTTAATAGCTACATGTAATTTATATAAATTTAAAGACTTATCACACATTCCTTAAAATTTATAGGAAATTACATATAGCTATTAAGAAGATTTAATACAATATAGGATAAAAAGTAAATAATTATAATAAATTATTATTATTAAATGTAAAAACTAATCTATGTAATCAGTTATTTGACACAAAATTCTGATTTTATTAATTTCTCAATTTCAATTTTATAAAGATAAAAATAAAGAATTACATTAAATTTTGATTACCTGAAAGATGAACTAGTTTCTTAAAATATAAATTTGGAATTATTTCTAACATTTTTATATATAGTTTCATTTTACATAAATTCAAAGTATTTCTGATAGACTTTTGATATGAGATCAAAATATTGAATCTTTTATTAATCTCTCAATAAATTAACCTTATTTACTTTAAAAAACTTAAAAATATCGAGTTTTCATATTAAGTTACATGTATTAAGCATATACATAACAACAATTATATATTATATTATATTATATTTTCTTTTATATTTTTATTTATTATATTTATATTTTCTTTAGTAGTTTGAAAATGTAACAAATGTTTTGCAGAAATTTGTTTGGGGTTATAGGGAATTATCAACAAAAAATTGATAGTCTAAAGTAGTATTTTAAAATGTTTTAATTTTCATTAAATGGATATTTAACAAATAATAATAATATCCTAATTTATATATAAACAAAAATATTGATCATATTTTATGTTCCTACTCATTTTAAATGAAAATTTCTGAGACTATAGGATGGAATAAATTTGCATAAAAGAACAAGAATTTTAAAAATATTTTCTTAATAGAGAGGTTGCGGCCGACGTTTTCATCACAAAAACGTGAACGTCGGATGTTCGGTGCCGCCTTCACGTAAGCCTAGAAGTTTGACAATGGTGTTTGCAACGTCGGTGGAATCATACTCGACGTTCCAAATGCCATTGTCAAACTTCTAGGCTTACGGGAAGGTGGCACCAAACGTCTGACGTTCATGTTTTTGCAACGAAAATGTTGACCGCAACCTCTCTAATATTACATGTAGAATTGTTATGAAAGCTTGTGTTAACCTTTGCAACAAGCTGTACTGATCAATATCAGAATATAATATTGATATTATTGGTTTACATTTATTATAAACAATGAAAATCTATGAAAATGGGATAATTTTCATATAATTAATTAAATTATAACCAAGATGTTTAAGTTTTATTCTTTTGAATTTAATATGTTAAAAAATTTTTTAACATTAAAAATATGCTAAGGAGCAATTTTACATGCAGATATTTTTCCTTAAAAACTTACTGATTTAAGCAAATATACCTTTTAATATGGAAAATTAATTTTAGCATTGAAGGTAGCATTATACTACCTTAGTTAACAGATAAGGTCTCTATTTCATCTGATGCTTTTAAAATTGATTACAAAACTAATTTATTTATAGTTATATATTAATTATAATATATTATAATTATTAATTAATTTATAATTTATAGACAAAGAAACATTCTAACTTTTATTAAATAAGTTTCATTTTAATTAATCTGTGCTTTATATTTGCCAAAATGATTACAGACCAAAGCTGAAATACAGATAGAATTAAAACAAATATTGTAGTAGGACCAGTTTATTTTTTATTTTATTTAATAGAAAAATCAACTGTAAGTCTGTAAACAGTTACCAAATTATTTGGTAAATAGTATATAAAAAAATCATCTATTCACTTATCATAATCAGTTAAAATAGCATTTTGGAGTCAGAGTGACAGAAATAATATGATAATGATACTCATATAATGTATTCAAATGACAAATTATCAGTTGTAATTTGTCATATGATAAATTGCTACTGTGAATTTCTTCTATTTAAAAAATATATTTCAAACACATTATTTAAGTAGATATAAATCTCATGCCTACATATTTAAATCATATTCACATTTTATATAGCTTTAGTGAAGATATTTAAAATTATTATTGCAAATGAGCACATAACAAATCTGATTTTAAATATGATTGAAGTTTAGTTTAGTTTATGGCATTTTTAATAAATGTAAATATTATAATTTTGGAATCAGCTTTCTTGTTTCATTAATTTGGAAATGAATTTAGCTACAATGATTGGAAGTTTGCATTATCAGTATCATCTTGTTTAGTTATATTTACAATAATTTTCAAATATTATATCAATCTTTTGAATATATATATTTTTAATAGACACTTCAATAAATTTACACAAGTAAATACGATTAACGGGAAATTATATTTCAATTATTAACTACTCAAAAATTAAATCGGAGATTTTCTAAAACTTAAAAAGTACCGGTACTTCAATTTATCATTATTTTAACGATAAAAACTGTTTCCGGTTGATTTTTACAAAGATAAGAAGAAGAAAATCAGTCAATTAAAAATATTTAATAAAGATTCAATTTTAAATTTTCTTTCATCAATAAAAGATGATTTTTTTTAATTTGATTTATCAAACCATTATGTTGCAAAAAGATTATATTGGTAACTTAATAACAGGATTAAATGGATTGGTGATTGAAGTCATGTCTTGCAAGATTTTAATCTTAGTCATTATAGATCTGTCATTGATGGATACTGATGAAGTTACCATATCTACAGCATTAGTCTACTAATATATTTTTTAAAATCAATTACATTAAAAGCTATAGCTTTTTAAAGATTTTTCTCTATTGTTTCTAAAGCTCTATAATTGGTAATATCCATTTGCAACTTTTCATGGTCCTGTAATTAGTTTCCCAGTTCTCCTCTCCATTATAAATGTAAGAAAATTTTCACCAGATGTATTTTACTCAAACCACTATTGAAAAATATAAACACGCTTTAAAAAATATATATCGACATCAGGATAAAAGCGTGTTAATAATGTTATATAGTAAAACCTGTTTAAAAAGGAAAAAAATCCGTTTTTTGGATGGAGCGATTTTCTAACTTTAAAAAATTCTTGGATTTTGTAAGTTAAAAAAACCTGGCAGAGCGGACAAAAACATTGGGTACCGCGCCATTGCGGTTTACACAGGTTTTGCTGCACACACAAATATTGTACGGGGAAGACAAGGGCTAAACATTGTTAAAAAGAAAGTGGAGTATAAAAGTAATGATATTAAGTTAAAGATAATTGCTTTCTTACTATCTTCCTGTGCGAGGATCGAACCGACATTCCCATCCAGGTGGCAATGGTTCTTGGGGTTGTTGCGGATGAACAGCAGCCATTTCTAACAATCACCGTAAAGTCAATTTATAAAATAAAAATCTCTTTCCTTAATGAAACGCTGACATTAAATCGTCAGAAACGGATTCCTTTTCGGTTAGCCCTTTGCTGTTTTCGAAAATCAGGCGGACGATTCTAGTTCAAGGACGGCCTCTCGTCGTTATGGTAACCGTAAGTTGTCGTTTGCGCGTGCGCGATTGGTCAGATGATTGTTACCACGGAAACGGGAAGATGCAGATGATCCGAATTCCAAATAAGGAAAATTGTTTCTTGCAAATGTATATATTAGTTTTGACACTGATCATATTTGATTACTTCTTTCTTTGTGTATAGAAACCGAGCGCAACAATACACCTCTTGTTTATAATGCCAGACCAGTTGTAAATGATAATGTATCGTTTAAAAAACATTTTAATATTTTATCGGGAGATTATACCAATTTCATTTTACGAATTTATAAGCAAAAACATTTTTTTTAATTTAAAATAGGCCTATAGTTTGTCTGTTTTATTATTTATTGGTATACTGACGTACTGTACAGTAGTTTTAAATCATCCCTTACATTTCAAATGCTAATTTTGAAATAAAAATTCTATTTGAACATTTTTGATAAGAGTTTTATATTTTCTCTTATTAATTTTATTATTATTTATTTATAAGACGAAAGTTTAATTTAATTGTTTATAAAGCTTACGAGACAGCGCTTTAATACAAATTTTAATATATCTGCTATTTTTATCAACACGGTAATTAATTCTTAAAGGAAAAATTAATTAATTAATTAAAATAACGTTAATGTTTAAGAAAAAATATAATTTTCTGTGTGTTACTTTCATTAAAATATCGAAAATTACTTTATTTTGAATTTAAATTTTATTAAAATTGCATTTTTCAGTAATAATATTATTTAAAATAATGTCATGTTTTAATCTTTTAATATTAAATTTATATTATTCCAATATCATTTTTTCCATTAAAAATGAATGAATGAATAAATTTCTGCTAATAAATGGGATTTACTCAAACAATTTATTATTTATTTAATTTATACATTTTACATTACTTTCATTCAAAGAAGAAATACGTTAGTAAGTAACACGATTTTAAAATGTATTACTTTTTAATAAATAAATAACATTTACACCAAAAACTTATCTCGTTTTTTCCTAAGGAAAAAATTATATTTCCTAGTTTATTTTCTCTCTCAAAGTAATTTTAAGTCTTTGAAAAACATGAATAAGATTACCGAGAAAATAACCTTCGTGTCTTATTAAAATCAAGTCTTTTCGCCTAAAATAATGCCTGACACAAAATGTATAATAAGTAAACTTTCATTTTAATTTTGAATAATTCATCTCTATTTTTTACATTTCCATTCACATAACTTACAAAATATTATTAAAGTATTCGAATTAAATATAAAAACTCCTAATTTTTGCATAATTAAATATTGAAATTATTATAAATGCTACTTCTTATGGGTTTCTTGTTATATTTTGCATTAATAGATTTATATATTAAATATAAAATGTTTTATTGTAATAATAATGTTGTGATTTAATTGATTTACTTATTACGTAAAAATGTTCATAATTTAAGAGAAAAAATTATTAATCACATTCACTTTCATTAAAAAGTAGTTTTTTTTATTGAAAATGAATGAATGTTTATCGTATAAAACAGACTTTATCTGTTTTATTTTGCAAATGTAAAACACATTTATGTATTTATAAATTAGACATTACTCCTCTTTTACAAAGTTAATTCATATATCACAAGGAAATTTTTTTTATATAGAAAATTATAAAACTGTGAATAANAAAAGTCATTTGTTGAGAAATAAAGCTGGCAATACATAATATAATAGTGTTTTTAAAAAATATATTTTTTAATATTTGTGTTTAATCAAGACAAAAAAATAACATCTCATTCTGTCTCACAAATAAATGTATTAAACTGATTAAATAAATAAATTTAAAATGTATTAATTCTATTCACAGATTATAAATCTTAGTAGTCTTTTAATTTTCAAAGCTTTTCATTGTCATATTTATAATTACATAGTGTCTTCTCTTTTTAACAGAAAAGTAATTGTGAAACTATTAAATGTACAGTACACTTCGAATATTTAAAGGCTTAGTAATCTATCTTCAGAAATCCAGACAAACAAATCGAAAAATTTATATTCAAATTTTAGTAAATTATAAATATTGTTTTTATTTCTAAGCTGTGTTTCATTTATTTAGAAACATAATTAAAGCAAAACAGTTCAATTAAAATTGCAATGATGGTTGAATTGTTTAAAGCTTTTTGTTTTGGTTACATTTTCATAGGAATGAAACACAATTTATAAATAGTAACATTTTAGAAAAAGAACATTTGTTTTTCGTCTTGTTAAGATTTCAAATGAAAGAAACTCTTCTAATTTGTTTATTTTAAATCCAACAATTTTTTACTAAATCTGAAAGCATTGAATATTATCTCTGTTATCCTGCTCTAATGCAAAAGTATTAAAATGCTAAATCAATAAAACACTTTAATAGTATAATTGCAGATATTTTTTTTAAATATAATTTTTAAAATAAATATCCTGTTTAGGTTTGTAATGAAATTAATTGTAAATTTAATGTTTACACATATAAATGCCCTTTATATGTTTTCAATTCAGTATCTCGTGTATGAAATTTTAGCTTGAAATTAAATTAATGCCAACACTAAATTTTCATTTGATAATCTTACTGGAAAAATCGTCTAAATTTCCTCATTAAATAGAAGGATAACTTTGATTAAAGTTTAAATGGACATTTTTCCCATGATATAAAATAAAGGGAATATTTTTTAAATGTAGTCAATCATATCTCTAGCAATAAAAATAATATCATTCTGATATAGATAAAAGGAGCTATATTATGTGGAGAATGAGATAGTATAGTTTGATTACCACTCTAAATGATGATTATCAAAAAATACCTAACAAATTTTATCAATGATTATGATATATACAATATAATCCAGAATATTACTAATAATTTAATTTTTTTAATATGTTCCTATTTATTAAAGAAATGACATAATTAATACAAACTTTATTTCAAATCTTATTGAAAATTGTTTTCTAGATCAGGAGAATAAAACTTTTATGAAAATAATTATTATAGCATATTACAAATGATAATTTATTTCAAAAATTAAAGAAAAAATTTATAATAACACTAAAAATATTTGAAGACTATTTGAATTTATGAAATGAAAAAATTATCTACTAATTTTATACACTATTCATTTACTATGTATTTGCAGTTCAATTTTAAACTATTTATTGATTTATAATAATCTAAATAACTAAATCAATTAAAATTTTTACTATAATTCACAAAAAATAATATTTGAATAATGTTAAATGAACATTTTTACAAAATAGCAGTATTGAAAATCTTGAAATACACTTATTATGTATTAAACTATATATTAAATATTTTATATTTGTGTTAATTTTAACAGATTAAAATATAGGTTATGTACTTTTTGTAAAGTGTAGAAAAATTAATTTAGCTATAGTTTTATGCAAAAAACAATTTGTTTCTGAAGTTATTCAGATTTTAATGTTAATCTCTGCTGTTATCAGTTTATCATCATCAAACATTATATATCATACATTAACAATAAACGAGTAAGATTCCTACAACATTTAAATATTTTATTATGAAACTTTTAATGTTTAATAACTAAGACTGACTAGGAGCCACAAAAAATGTAAATACAAAAATAAAAACTAACATAAATGTATATATATCTGAAAATATCTACTAACACTAATTTTTATTCTTAATGCAAAGATATTTTTTATTTTTTGCTTATATAAAATTCTTAATTTTACTTCTTTAAAGTCTTTAATTTCATAATTACCATTTCAGATAATGCAATTCAATTATTATTAAATCTTCTTAATAGCTACATGTAATTTATATAAATTTAAAGACTTATCACACATTCCTTAAAATTTATAGGAAATTACATATAGCTATTAAGAAGATTTAATACAATATAGGATAAAAAGTAAATAATTATAATAAATTATTATTATTAAATGTAAAAACTAATCTATGTAATCAGTTATTTGACACAAAATTCTGATTTTATTAATTTCTCAATTTCAATTTTATAAAGATAAAAATAAAGAATTACATTAAATTTTGATTACCTGAAAGATGAACTAGTTTCTTAAAATATAAATTTGGAATTATTTCTAACATTTTTATATATAGTTTCATTTTACATAAATTCAAAGTATTTCTGATAGACTTTTGATATGAGATCAAAATATTGAATCTTTTATTAATCTCTCAATAAATTAACCTTATTTACTTTAAAAAACTTAAAAATATCGAGTTTTCATATTAAGTTACATGTATTAAGCATATACATAACAACAATTATATATTATATTATATTATATTTTCTTTTATATTTTTATTTATTATATTTATATTTTCTTTAGTAGTTTGAAAATGTAACAAATGTTTTGCAGAAATTTGTTTGGGGTTATAGGGAATTATCAACAAAAAATTGATAGTCTAAAGTAGTATTTTAAAATGTTTTAATTTTCATTAAATGGATATTTAACAAATAATAATAATATCCTAATTTATATATAAACAAAAATATTGATCATATTTTATGTTCCTACTCATTTTAAATGAAAATTTCTGAGACTATAGGATGGAATAAATTTGCATAAAAGAACAAGAATTTTAAAAATATTTTCTTAATAGAGAGGTTGCGGCCGACGTTTTCATCACAAAAACGTGAACGTCGGATGTTCGGTGCCGCCTTCACGTAAGCCTAGAAGTTTGACAATGGTGTTTGCAACGTCGGTGGAATCATACTCGACGTTCCAAATGCCATTGTCAAACTTCTAGGCTTACGGGAAGGTGGCACCAAACGTCTGACGTTCATGTTTTTGCAACGAAAATGTTGACCGCAACCTCTCTAATATTACATGTAGAATTGTTATGAAAGCTTGTGTTAACCTTTGCAACAAGCTGTACTGATCAATATCAGAATATAATATTGATATTATTGGTTTACATTTATTATAAACAATGAAAATCTATGAAAATGGGATAATTTTCATATAATTAATTAAATTATAACCAAGATGTTTAAGTTTTATTCTTTTGAATTTAATATGTTAAAAAATTTTTTAACATTAAAAATATGCTAAGGAGCAAT